ATTTCTGAAGAAGGGTCCCGACCCGAAACTTCAGCTTTCCTGTTCCTCTGATGCTGCCTGGCCTGCCGTGTTCCTCCAGCTCCACGCTGTATTATCTCAGACTCCGGCATCGGCAGTTCTTACCACCTCTGTAAAAAACGACATGACTGGTTGTTGGAGGAGGAGTGTTATCTGACTTAGCTAGACCTGGGGCTCAGGCTTACCCTGACTCTAACTGTACATTGTCTTCCATGATCTCTCAATTCTTAAATGTGACCAATGAATGGAAAATAGCTGTGACTATGCCTGGAATGAGCAAAATCACTATTTGTTTGCTGTCCAATAATGTGGGCCCTACTTCTGAGTGACAGGAGACTCTTTATGAAGCCAATGTATTTATTATGCACGTACGGGGTGCAAATTTGAGTCATTTGCAATTATACCATCTTGCATATGAAATTCATAGTGTCTAACTGTGTAGGATGTAAATGCTGGTCAAAAGCACTGTGTACCATGTCAATGATGCTTGCAGGTTTGACACAGACAGCTCTGTGAATCAGAAATAGTCATGTGTGACCTTAAAAGAGGCACCTGCAGGCCACAGAGCAGACTACTAATGCAAGATCAAGTAGGCTGATGAAGGGCAGGAAACTGATCCTCTCTCAACGTGAACTGTAAGTATAATGCACCACAATCTTTAATGCAGTAATGCCTTTCATGGCTGATGTGGAGCTGGGAGGAGAGGGGCTCAATATTACTGCAGCACTTGCAAACTCCTGCTGTTTCTTTGCATCATGACTAGTAGGGTATTCATCTGAACAAGGTCCAATGCTAAAGTTCCACAGATGCAAATGCTGCCTACTCACATCATTAAGAACCTCTTCTATATCAGCTAATATTGGATATGGAGAGACTGTCTTTGGGGACAAATTGTATAGGATGGTAGTTGAATAGTACTTACTACCTCAGAATGCGGCAGATACTGGAACATTGAGTCAATTTAAAGAAAAGAAAGACAGATTTTAAATTAGTGATGGATGAGGGTTTATGGAAAATGGGCAGAGTTGATGTTGAGATGAGATCAGCCATGATCGTATTGAACAGCAGACCAGAGTAGAGGGCTGACTTGCCTACTCCTGCTTTCAGTTCTTATGTTCAGTGCAGGGGCTGAGGTGAGCTGGGGTGAGATGTCAGGTGGAAATTGGAAGGAGTTGGGTAGATGACATGGTTTTGGTAGCCAGGATAACATTGGAATTAGTCAAGTCTGGAAGCAACAAAGGCATAGATGAGATTTCTAGCAATAGATGAATTGACCAATTGCAAGCTGGAATTATTTCTAGATCTGGGCATGAACAAAGCTTTCTTACTCTGAAACAAATGTGTTATTAATAGCCACAGCCAACATATAAAAGGTGACTGAAACCATTAATTTTTCTCCCTTTAAAGTCTATTTTCAACTAAGCATACAGCTACACTTTAGGCTCCACCATACTTTGCTTTCCTAACTTGATTGGTTCTTCAGAGATAGTAGGAACTGCCGATGCTGGAGAATCTGAGACAACAAGGTGCAGAGCTGGATGAACACAGCAGGCCAAGCAGCATCAGAGGAGCAAGAAATCTGACATTTCGGGTCTAGACCCTTCTTCAGAAATGATTGATTCTTCCACAGCTTTGACAAGAAACTACTTTCCTCAGATTTGCTTTAAGTTTGCTGCTGCTTCATAGCAATGCACTGTTATCTTCTACAACAACCTTTACTCTAAATATGATGTACTGTGGTCACTCTGTACCAATTCATTTAATTTTCTTACACATTCCAAAGTTTTTATTTTAATTTCTGTACCTCTGACTTAGTTAATACCGGTGGTTTTTTTTACCAAGAGAGAAAAAAAATTAAACCCTTTCAGTTTTACTTCCTGCCTTCATTTCAGCTTCTAACCTCTTCCCATCCAAACACTCACCTCACTTCCAAATTCGCTAAGAACTCCTCTATGGTGAGGTTATCCAATAAGACAAAGTCGGCTTTGCCAAACTCCAAGCTCTCCTGCTCTGCCATTCCTTTTGACAGGCGTGGTGTGACTCTGCTGGTTCGGAAGTGATATGAGCTCAACCCAGGCTCCTTCCTTCTAATATGACATCCGGAAGGTACCAATCAGCTGAGACGCTTCTTGCACAGTCACTATCTGTGGTTGCAGCCTGTTTCCCCTCAAACCTTCAGGAACCATTGCTGAATTTGACAGAATACTTACAAAGAAGAAGGAAGTTAAGCCTGGGGCTTGGCAATGCCAGTGTAAAGAAATTTTGTTTGTGTTCATATAAGGTTCCCATTAGGGAAGTTCGATATTCAATCTCCTTACCATTCAGTAATACGTCAGCTTCTCAGCATTCTTGTCTCTGAGATTGTATGTTCAAATTCTATTCCAGAGTCTTATGTAGAATTGGAATATATAGTCTAGAAAGAGGCATTTTCCATAATGATAACATGCAGCTCATTCACATTCTCACTGCTTCTGGACAAAGATGTTTCTTCTGAATCCATTATTTGACTTCTTCGTGATGACCTCATATAGATGGTGTATAGATTTGTTCATCCTTATAGGTCTTGAGTGGAAGATCTGAAACAAGATACCTCCAAGCTAGGTAAGACTGTGAGATAGCTCTGAAAGATTTTGCAATGTGTTTCACAGTGGCTATTCACTTCATCAAAGAAAAACTTCCCACTGGTTTTAGTATCAAGTTCTGTCTAGATAAGAGCTTTAAAACCTCAATCACCACTGTGCCAAAATTAAATTGAACTGTACAGACATAGATGATCTACAGCTTGGGGGATGATTGTGGTTTTATTGCCTACATTGCACTAGATTAGCAGACCACTCCTGATCTCTTCAGTTCTGAATACAGAAATTGCAGCTTGTACTTAAATTTTTCCAAAACGCATACAACAACCCACACCTGGTCAGCCAAATATTCCATCACCTCATATACCTTGAAGAAGAAACTCTCAAGAAACTGACCACTTCCCATACCTTGGCAGGCACCTCTTTCAAAAGGTCACCATTGATCAGGAGAGTCAACAACATATCAAATGCAGCAGTTCAACCTTCTACAAGTTACAGTAGTGAGTTGAGTGAATCGATTGTACTATTTTACTTCTGTCCAGGCGTGTGGCTGATAAAGGTCACAGGTAGCTTAGACATCTGGAAGCATTACCTATTAGTTAATGTGGTGAATATGAACTAAAGATAAAGTTTCTATTGTCTTAGCAGACCATAGGGCTGCTCTTTCATTAGAGAAAATGACCGGTGGAGGTTTAACCTGAGGGTCACCATGCCTCAAGCGAGGGAAGAGGTTGAAAGGGAAAATCCTACATGATACCCTCAGCCGGTGCGGGAATGGAACTGATTACTGCAAGACTTGACATGAAGATTCAAGAGTGAAAAATCTCCTAGTAGTCATGTGATCTTGCATCGCTTCCCTTGATGAGGTAGACTACCTTATTGACATATTTTCTTTAACTCTTTAAACTACACTTACACAACATATCTTCCTCACGAAAACAAAAACTACTGACTCAATCTCTGATCTTTGATTACTGTGGACTTCCACCTATCTCCTCAATCGTGTCCTCAATCCTCTTGAAGGAGGTTGAAAATTTGAGTCCTCTATGCTTTCTCTCAAATTCTGTTGGCTGGAATGAGAATTACCAGATCATACCAGGTCACTACTCAGGGCATCTTCCCAGCCTAATTAATAACTTGTCAAATCTACAGAAGATTGCCTTCTTGTAGAAACTAATGCACTCCTGTTTCTTCCAACCATTCCACTTGCTTTCTCTGTCACCACAATGTTGTCAACTTTTACTTTCAGCAGGGTATTTACCTCATCAGACAATACTTATGTTATCATGAGTAACATATGATCTAATTATGGTTAAAGTTGCACTGAAAGATTCAATAGACATTTAAAACAGCTCCTTGTATGTACATATATAGTACAATTACAGGCTCTTCAGTATTCAGGCTGATTTGAAGGAATTTTATTGGTTTCAAATTGCAGCACCCTTTTATCAGCATGTCATGCTTCAAGTGACCCCAGTTAAGATGGTGGTAGGGTGATGGTATCATGAACATGTCTCTTAAAAATATACTGCATATTATTTGTAAGATGCAACATAACAAGATAGGATCACCAAAGTAATATATTCTCAAGAAACTGGCCTTATCGGTTTTGATCATGAACCCACACAAACTCCAGAGGCTGGAAATCTGGTGGGTGTTAATGCGGTGGAAATGATTGTAATTGCTTGTTTGATTGGCATGGGAGTCATTTCCCTTCTCCCCCACTCCGGACAGAAATCCCATCAGACATTCCCTTTACTCCTGTTAATGGATTGTATAGTTACTGCAATTGGAAATCATCTCATCTCATGACTTTGAGAGCCTTGTCACCAATCAGAATTTCACACTTTAGCATGACGCTTGGTGATATCCAAGTGACTCAGGTGCAAGCTCTGAAATATCTCAAATCTAAGGTCTCCATGTATGACCAAAATCTTATAATAAATCAGCAAATTATCTGTAACACTGAGATTGTCTTTTCCTCAAACAAATATTGCCTCAGAATAGGTTTATGTGGAATATACCCTGACAATCCTTTGATGCTCTGCTCATGGAACTGAACATGTTCTTCAACTGACTTTTATACACATCTAATCTCATTTTGGTAGGGCCTTGGGTAGTGTTGTAGAACAGAGGGTCCTAGGGGTGCAGGTACATAATTCTTTGAAGTTTGTATTGCATATGAACTGGGTGGTTAAAAAGGCCTTTGGCACGCATGCCTTTATTGCTCTGTCCTTTGAGTATAGGATTTGGGAAGTCATGTTGAGGTTGAACAGGACATTGGTGAGGCCTCTTCTGGAATACTGTGTCCATTTCTGGTTGCCCAGTTATAGGAAGAATATTATTAAGCTGGAGAGGGTTCAGAAGAGATTTACCAGCATGTTGCATGGTATGAAAGGTTTGAGTTATAAAGAAAGGCTGAATAGGTTCGGATTTTTATCATAGGTGTGTAGGAGGTTGAAGTTTATAAAATAATGAGAGGTATAGATAGAGTTAATGGCAGTTGTCATTTCCCTAGGATGGGGTTTTCAAGGCTAGATGGCACATTTTTAAGGTGAGAGGAGAGAAATTTTAAAAAGACATGAGAGGCAAATATTTTACACTGAGGGTAGTTCGCGTGTGGAATGAACTTCCTGAGGAAGTGGTGGATGTGGGTACAGTTACAGTGTTTAAAAGACATTTGCATAGATACTTGAATAGGAAAGGTTTGGAGGGATATGGGCCAGAAACAGGCAGGTGGGACTAGTTTAGTTTGGGATTATGTTCAGCATGGACTGATTGGGCCAAAGTGTCTGTTTCTGTGCTGTATGACTATGTCTCTAAGTAGGAAGTCTCCACATCAATAAAATACTTATGTCATTCGTCAGCCTTGTTACAGGTATATACAATGATCTGTCTGCTATATTCCCTTTGCACATATTCTGTTGTAGCATCAGTTCTTAACAATCTCAAACTAATTTCCTGCACTCTTTGCACCTTTGCTAATTCATTACATTCAATACATCAATCAAAGTTCAGTGGTCTGTCTTGGATTTTATCTGAAGAACACAGGTACACTCTATAAACTTCTCAAAAGCCCAGGTAATAGTTGATGCCTCTTTTTCAGTGATTTCATAGCTTCTCATTGATTCCTTTAAAGAAGAGTGTACCTTTACCATCTCATTGGAAAGTACAGTTCCTAAACCAGTCAATGATGCATTTTGTTTCCTCTTCTTTCTTTTTTCTATTTCTTTTCTTCATCTCTCTGGCACCATGGAGAGGCCAAGTGGTGTCAGCAGGCACTCCTGGCTTTGTAAGCACAGAGTGTGGACTCCTGGAATGGCCACAGGGCATCGGCTGCAGCAATGGAAGAGCAGGGCTCCTGGCTTTGTAGGCCTGGAGTGGGAACCTTGTCAAGGACCCTGGCCAATGAAGATGAACTCTATTTAAGTACTTTTTTTCATCTTTTACCTCAAAATAGTGCTGGATTGTAGCAACAGAATAGTTTTCACAGTATCTCCCTAGATATATATATGACAATAAATAAATCATTCATCATTCAGCAAAAATTATAGGCTGATCAGAATCAAAATGATCCAATATGTGTGGTGAAATTAACATTTCTTAATCCTTCAAACACAGTGCAGACCCCAGACTGACTACAACACACACCCCAGACTGACTACAACACACA